TCGCTGAGCGAAATTTGTGTTTGTTGAAATAGGTGAGAATCAGTTGCGCTTTTGTTGCTGTTGCTATGACATATATCATTTATAATGATATTTATTGTAAGTGAATAACTATTGCTCCCTAATTTTTCACTCTTGATTATGATTCCGTAAAAAAACCTCATGGGACAGACAGCGGTAGATTAGACAGTTGATGACGGTCCGTCATCAACCGTCATTGACGGAGAATCCGACGACGATATAGCCGCTAGACTTTGAGGTTTCGTCTTCGAGGCATGTTGTTATGTATAATCGAAGTGCCCCCCAAGAGAAAATTCCCGCTCCCCCTGAGCCCCCCTCTACTGGTAGGCCTGGAGCCGCCCCTGATTCCATTGTCCCATTGTCCGAAAAAGATTTATAATGTCCTGACTCAAAACATTATAAATCTTTTTCGTTTGATAGGGTTTTCCGAAAATACTGTAAATAAGGGTATCTTGAAGGTCTTGGGCAGACCGAGACTCATAAGAGCCATTTATTGATTTACCTGACATATACACATCTTTACTCAGAAGTGATTGAGTACATCCAGTATCGATTAAATAACGATACTCCCCAGACCGAACGAGGAGAGCTCGTCTGGACAGCGAAGGTCTCACCTTCTCACTATCCTCACGTGAAGTGTTACCACGTGAATAGACTGGATTATTGGGACACACATGCCCGGTATGGCCCCATCCTTTACAAGTCCAACATTAGGGCACTCTCGCAGTTCTTTGCGGCTTATTAGGAGGATAATCTCGAAATCCCTCATATGGTCGTCTATATTGACCTTGACCACCTCTAACAAGGCCTTGGCCTTTTCCTTTGCCGCCACCTTTAAGGAATCCTCCTTTAGAAGATTTTCCTTCTCCTCTGGACCCTTTGCCACCCTTTTGGGTATAGGCAAGAGCAGCTGTGGCAGGAGATGATGTTGAGCCCTCAATGGGTACATCATCATCACACAAAGTTCGGCAGAGGTCTAACGCCTGTGTTAGGTGTTGAGGACCTGCTTGTCATGTACAATATAACTGTTTAGCCACAGCAGTCCAAGGAATAGAATTCCAGAAGAACTTGCATGCAACAATCTCTGATGCCAAACTATCAAGTTTGGGCAGAGAGATGGCAACAAGCTCACGAATTTCAGTGGCATGAGGATAAATATTAGCATTTGCTTCACCAGGTTGAAAAGTTAAAGCAATAAGCTTTTGAAAAGCTTTGCGCTCCGTGGCGCCATATACCAAATGTAGCTTCTCTATGATCAATCTCTCAGCTTCCTCATCTGTAACTAGAACGAGAGGCTGTAGCATGAGCTGTAGCAGGTGCAAGTGAAGTCGCTGGTAGAATCTCCTGGGTCTGGGCACTATGTGGTTGTCCTATGACGTGATGTGTCTCTGAACTCGACATAAGGAGAGGAGAGGGAAAGAGAGAGGTAAGGGGAACCACCGTATAGCTAATGAGGTGCACGCATACACATGTGCGCGACTGCGAAGTTGTCTCCTTCATAGACTTCACAGACTACACTTACCTTATCCATTTCAGCCTGGGGGCTGCGAGCCGTTTCATGCAGCAAATAATGGGCGAGCGAGAGTCGTGCATACGTGCGCGAACAGGGACACGACGTGCCCGGCATGTGTACCAAGCGTTGTGCACTTAGCCTATGCGTGCCAGCGGAGCGATCGATATCATGTTTGTGGAAAAGGCACTACTTGCAATAAAGGGGCCCTTCCGATGACTTGGTGCAGTAGACCAAAACCGCAAGTGGAATAACCTCATTTGCATAACCTTTAGGCCATGTCCCGACTCGGGACTCCCGAGTGCTCAGGTACCCTTAGCCAGGTGCGGACAGGGGCTTCTGACAGAAGCCCTGAGTCAGGGTGTGGAACGGGCTATGACCTTTTGCCAAGGTTTATGACCCCATTTTGCAGTGCCACTTCCTCAGCTCATTTCCTGCGTCCCTTGGGTATATCTAACCTAAGGCATTACTCTGGAGTGCACGGATTGCGAGATCTTCTTCTCCAGCCATCAACCACATTCGGACCTTGCCTGCAGTAGACGGTCTACTGTAGCAGCTACAATGTAGCTGGTCTACTAAAAACCAGCTACAATATTGCTACATCACTTCTGAGAAATCCAATGCCTTGGATAACTCGATATTATGGTTCTTAAGGGGTGCTATGAAATCATATGCTTCGAATCGATATGTAGAAGGTGAAATGCAGCCGTTGTATCTCTCGCAACCGGGCTACGACCGGGTCGGGAGCGCTTCGCTCCATCGCATGCCACTGTTCCGAAATTTCCATTAAGTATGGTACCCACGCTGGAGTTTTTCTGTCGAATGCTCTGATAGGATTAACGAGGGTTACCACAACACAGCTCGAACTTGGGTCAAGATGGCTACGGAGAAATTCTCGATACTTAACAGTGTTAAGTTAACACGAACTGATTGCACTGAGCCCGCACGTTGTGTTCTACTAGAGCGTAAAGTATCCGTACGCATGCACAAGTCAGTGGCGTCACCTGTGCGAAACCTACCATACTATAAATTGTAAAGGTTATGAACTTGAACTGATTACTCTAGGTAATGAAGAACAAACCTCATAGCACCGACTTATGTTGGCATGCCCAGACTCTGGGCCCCAGAGATCGAGAGGCTCAAATTGAGCCGCTCATTTTTACCGGGCTCACCATCCCGTTCAACGTCAACCCGACCCGAGGCACGCATATCACGTACTGTCCCCTTGAACCATTGGCGCGCGGGTCGTCGACGTTGAGGGCAAAGTACACCATACAGGCCTCTGAATCTCACGCCGATAAGACTGGGCAACTCATAGATAATCGGATGAGACGATGATGTGTCAGTCCCATCACTCGTCGAAGACTTCGGATACTCGAAACAAACGTTGTAAAAGAGATTCGGTCGATATTGGCTGGTCGGAGTCTTTCTGTGAAACACATGGGGGCGCTGACAGCGCTGCTGCGAAACAGTTGGGTCAGCATAGGGACTCTGGGTTGCAATCATTTACCGCCATGACTGAGCGATCGTTGTTATGCAGCATCAATGAGATAGGGCGCAGGCACGACGAAGCAGGGGTGGCTCGGTCTCATACTCAATTTGTCGATTCTTGCTGTTGCTCCGGGAAAGAACTCGATTGAGGGAGTCCAGCTAAAGAAGGCTCCTTTGGAGCGCAAGTTGTGTTAGATAATTTCCATGTTCTGCTCAGATTGGGCATGACCGTGAACTCGGAGTTCAGAACTCTGAATGGCCTTGGAAGAAGGCTTTTCTCCGGGATTAATCCCGAAGTTTGTACAGTGCGCTGCCGGCGGATGTCTTGACCCCGAACGAAGCTTGCGCAACGGCCGGTATGGACCCCAAGAATGAGCCGACTCGGCTCAGCCGAGTGACACAGAACGAGGTCGTTTCATGAGGCGCCGAGTGGCGGACCCCATTACCCTGGAGAACCGATTGATGGCCGTGGTGCGAGCTCACCGGGCTGTTGACGATAAGCAGGCCGTCATCGCTGAACAGCTGGGCCGGGACACATCGACACCACTACCTCCTAGTAAAAGGCTCCTACAAATCCGGCCTATAGGATCATCAACTTAAGGATCTTGGGTCAAGATTCCTATCCGTGTTCCGATCGCAATTAGTACATGTACGCAATTGTTGTATGAGTGATCATCCATCTCGAGGGGGAGATCAGAGTCAGCTACTGCTTTCCTAGTAGGGAATCCCTACCTTCCCCGAGGCCGTGTGAACTATCGTCCATCTGGGTATTACCTCCTGGGCAAGTTTACGATAAACAAGTATGGTGGAATCGATGAACTCCTCTATCCATAGACTGTTATTCAGCGTCCGTGGCCTGGGCCGTCAGCTGTTCGACTGCCGAGCGCTCTGGTGGGCACTTGCGTGGTATAGAAAAAAGCGAAGGAAATGGGGCCTTTACTCAAAGATCTGACTCTTGCATCAGGATCTGCATATGGCCCCAGGTCTTCAGTCTGGCGCTGTATTTATAGCCACATATTGAATTGGGCCCGAGAGAAGCACCACTCCATCAAGAGCTGGGGATGGCCGAGGAGTATCCTGAGTGGCAATCAGGCTAATTGGACTAGCTAAGCTAATTTAGCTTCGGAACCAGGCACCAAGGTGAGGTTTGGGTAGGGCTACTACAATCATGAGGTCGCTGGGCCCCTCAACGCGGGTTGGAAAACTGCAGCGACCGCATCCACTCTTGTCGGTGACGAGCTCAGCGAGCTCGCGGGGTTCGAGCACGAGCGCTTGGACATTGAAGAGGACGGCTATGGCTCCAGCGATTTCGATGGCGCAGACCTCCCACAAAACAATGATTCGTACTGACTCGAACTAGTCATTAATTGATAGGGTGCTTGGACTGCTGCCATTCTTCGATGCATCGTGCCGCAGAGGGTCAAATGCTGCGAGCCATAGCTGAGTCTGGTTGAAGTTACTGCTCGTGGAACAACATGATATGCTGTTTGTTCGCGCACGTATGCACGAATCTCTCTCGACCTTCATTCATTACATAAACGGCTCAAAGCCCTCGAGCTGTAATGAATAAGATCAGAAGTTTTACTACCTATTATGGCTGTCTCTAGTGTCGTTGAGTGAGCCAACACCCGCACTGGTTCAACCAGTGGGGGTGTTACTACTAACACTGTTTCATCCTATACCGCGTTGTGTCACACCACTTTGTGCGGAACAAAATGTGCGGGACAATGCGCATACATATACTGTCCTGAGGAAAAAATCCAAAAACCGAACAATCCCTGGGTTTTCGGTTTCGAGCGGTAGATGAATCGCACCATTTCGGTCGGTTAGCCGGTTCAGACCGAATTGAAGCGGTAAATTTTCTCTTGATGGTTTCTGTTGCCGAGGCTTGCCGCTGCGATTCATCAGGTGCGTTCGAGCCGCGAGACAAGAACGTGTCACTCAGCTATATTGAGATCCAAAATATTGAGTCAATACCAGAATGCGTTCTCCTATGCCCGTCCGACTGCTCGCCTTGGTTTATGTAGTTGACGTGTTGAAGGTCTCCCGAGGAGCAACTCTCAAGCTCGATGTGAAGTACGAAGATATACCTCAACAGGGCTTCGGATTGTATCACACTCTGGTCTACGAGCATGGCCAGAAACTACATGCTCACGTTGACACTGGATCGGGTTTCACTTTCTTCATCTGGAAAGATTGGTACGAGAAAACCACTGGACACTCCTGCAGTACTTGGCCCATGGGGTGTTACTACTGCTCGGAGCCTTGCTCTGTGGGTAAAGTGACGAGAACTCTCACTTTCGAGGACAAATACATGGTGAACATTTTTCAGCACAAATCGAGATTAACCATGGGTCAGGTGTCGGAGATCCTCACTTTCGGGCTGATATTCGCCCAGAAACCTCCCGCAAGTGAAGTTCCTCCGACTAACTCGATGGGTCTTGGCTATGATAAAGGTGATGTGAACTTCCCGTCTCTGATGACGCAGTTGCAAGCATCAAAAGCTATAACGACCGGGATCATTGCTCTCTACTTGTATCCTCCCGCTGATCCCAAGGAGGCTTCCGCTGATGGAGGCCTACTCCTGGGTGGAGGCGATGCTGCATTATATGAGGGAGAATTGAGGTATGTCGACTTCTCTACGGACAAATCTTATACGGTGAATATTGGCAAGGTACAAGTCGGTGATGGACAAATAACTTCTGGAATCAATATGAACCTTGATCTTGACACCGGCGCCGACTATCTATACGTTCCAACGTCATACTACGACAATCTTATCAAGGATATTAAAGATCAAACTGACAAGGCTGCGGGTACGCATGTTGACTTCAAGTTCTATCCAGAAAAGAAGTTATGGTACTTCCCTTGCCAATATATGAGCAGGTTGCCATTTTTGAGGTTTGGCTTGGGTCCTAAAGGCACATTTCCATTCTCGATGGCTTACGTGAACTATGCCAGGAATCAATATGGCACCTGTATACTCATTATCGCGGAAAACGAAAGGAATGATTGGAGTTTGCCCGATCGTATGCTAATCAGTAATTATCTTGAGTTCGACCCTATCCATAAACGAGTCGGGATCGCCAAGTTGAAACCGCGATCTCGATAAACTATTCCAATATTTTGTGATCTTTTGAATCCACGGTCTACAGCAGAATGGTCTTCATTATCATTTGTCATTCTATGAGCGCTCCATGAGAAGACCTTCACCTAGATTTGCCATTCTAGTAGCACGGTTCTACAAAACAATTATGAAGAATGCCATTCGGCGAATCGTTCGTTCCATCGAGAGATTACTTTTTGGGTTTATGAGCACGCAAAGTCCGCAGATTAGGACTCATCTTGACGTGTGAAGACATTGGAGCTTCTTGAGTGTTATATACTGTAATCAGGCAGTAGTTGAGCATTATGTCTCTTCAGCTGAGTCACTCTGTGTGCACCATTGTGATCTTATCACTCTGAGTCACTCTCATTTCTCCTCATCTATTTAGTGTAAGTAACTGAGAATGGTTATCCTTGCACTCTTGAAGCTATTTGTGCCCTTAAGCCATTAGCTATGCCCTTACACAGTTACACGCATACACAAAGGCTTTTCTGCGCCTTGGATAAGCTTTAGTTAGGAGGCAACTTAAACACGCAACATGAGTTCGTCATGGGTGCATCATACTGCCGAACGCGGGGTTTAGTTCGGCCGCTGGACTTCAGCGACGACCCCTTACTATAGATTCCAATTCAAGCGATTTCTTACGAATAGGTCCTCAATTTCATGATCAAGTCGATTTTGCTGATAAGAACATCGAATTGATGTCAATAATTTCCGAGCCAATCATGACTCGCCCCATCAGGGCCTAGAGCTGTTTTTCACTGCAAATTGCAACCTGCAATCTATTGCTTGCGATACCGCATGAAAACCTCTAATGACATTGTTTGATGTAGGATGGGAGCTCCTCTTCTGGAACTTCGAGAGCCCATTATCTGCGGAGGAAAGGCAAACCACATCCGAATCGGATGATCTGGTGCTGAATCAGCACAGTGCTGACTCAGCAAAAGCAATGGTGTTGAATCAGCAGTGACTTCTGATTCAACAAAACACTGGCTTTCTGAGTAGGAAAACTCCTGTCTCGACCTCGCTCACTCTTTTCCTTCAACTGGGCGAGACAAGTACGGTACAGTGGCCCTGCCAATCCGAAGTAAGGTTTATTCCGGAGTTCGGGTGTTCCCCATCCGAGAATGGTGAACGGGGCCCAGTTTACAAAAAGCAATGGTACCCGAAGTCGTGAGAATCATTACCATTGGCTACCGCTAGTGGGTCTGAATAGGTGTCCGAGCGGCTAGAAACGGAAGAGAGAATAGAAGAGAGAGATATTCTATCAATGCGGAGGGGTCTCCTCATGCGCTAGTGAGCCTGAGTAGGGAACTGATTATCCGCCGCTTGTGTAGGCATTTGCTATAACCGTGATGTTCAACGAAGTTGAACAGTGCAACTTGCACTGATATCAATGAAGCAATTCTCTTGTTTTTCCTCGCATACCCGTCGAGTCGCACCATTCTCTCGCCTGCAACAGCAGCGAACTCCTTCTCAGCACCTTGGATGTTAGGGTGTGTACGTTCTGAGTTGCGATGCACGTGTTAACAATGTTACACGTGTCAGACTGGGCACCTCATCGCAGAATGCTTGGAGTGGTGTTTCGCTTGAATATGCGCTAATTTCTGGAGCAGGTCAAACGGAACGTTTGCTCGACTCAGCTCTCTTAAAAATGTTGTTTCGAATTCGCCAATGTGGCTGGCGGACAGAATAAATTCTGGAAAGGTTCTTCTTGAAAGTTTCGGCTATAGGAGGGCCGAGTGAGAGCGGAGCAGCTTTCTTGAAGAGGCTCCTGTGCCTCGTGGACCGATCGTATCATTATTGACACATTCTGCATCATCATCACCATTGCTTGCGTCCTGGTCCAAAAGGGTTGCGTGTAGTAGTGGAGGGCATACAAAGCCTAAGTTCTATGAAGAGACTCTCTCAAGCCTTCCAAGCGTTCAAGCGTGGAGATTCATCACAGGTGAACCACTAGCATTTGCTGTGTTATTAAGAGCGTCATCGCTATCAGGCGACCGACGCTGACGCCGGCATCGAAGGTAAGAAAACTCCTGTACAGTACGAACCTCAGTTGAACGGTGTAGGAGTGCCCCGAGGGCAAAAGAATATGTCGCTTGATGACACTACCACTGCTGATGTACAAGTTCAGAAAGGTGGTCGCAGATTCTCACAAGTTGAAGTGAAGAATCGAAGAGCTGTAAGAGTCCCTCATGGACTATTATATACACTTGTATATTATTCAGATTATACCTGTATCACGCTCGACCGGCCTGAGTACGATGATCTTCGGTTCGGGTCCAGGGAATGAAGACAGTAGAGAACTGAGAGAACGGCATTTCAGAGGCTCCGTTGGAGCTCAACTGGCGTAGAGCGACGGCATAGGATGGGAGGTGGGAAGATAGTTCCTCAGTCATCGGGCTGCAGCTGCGAGAGTGGTTGGAGATGTGTACCAAGACCGTCGTCTGTCGGAAGGAGTGGCTGAGCGATTCTTTAAAGTAGGCGGCCTCTGACTCCACCTCGTCGTGCACTCCTCCCCTTAGCCGGCACAGTCGGGAACTCTCGGCATGAGGATGCTACGAATGACGGGATTCATCTTGGTGAGGTTTCCCCCGGCATATCCCAACACGTGTATAAACCATTGAGAGGACATTCCTCCAGTTTTACCTCAGCTTGTCATTTTCTGTGATTCACGCATGGTGAATGGTTAGAATGGGAACCTTAGGTGTTATGCATGATGGTGGGCAGTGGATTCATCATAGCTGCGAATCTGCACTATTCTAGTACAGCAGAGAAACAACGAGACGAATTCCTTCGTGACGGCATTGCTCCACGAGTGACCACTGAAATACAGGTGTAACAGCATGCGTGTGATGATTTGGGCAGTCAGTGCTCAGACGCTCTCAATGAGCTGAGACTATCGAATTAGACTCCGCCGTTCCTGTTGAGATTATCTCTGCATGAGAGACACTTGGTCAGGCTTGGCTGCAAGCTGCTATGCAAGTCCGCGATACGGTCCATTGGGGGGTTAGGACACAAGTGTACGCTGAAGAGTTCGATTACGGTAATGCAGTTATGACAGTGTTGCCAATGTTACCACTCCTACTGTTGCTGATCGAACCTATGGCCATGGCTCTATTTGGCTCTGTCCCATGTTGTTATTGAGGTGTTTTCTGACCTCGTGTGTGATGGTGGTCTTTATAACAATTAGTGTCACGTTATTGATCAGCAGACTTCGTATGGAGAATTCACCATCTCAGGGACTATCAGACAACTAGTAGAACCAGCATTCGGAAGGATTGAAGGTCTCATCTCCCTCGACCTGGCCTTCTCGACTTCCCCTCACATAGTCTCAGTATTGAATCTGTGCTACGTGCAAATAGGTCAATATCGTCTTGCAGGTGAACTCTATCCAGGATACCAATGGTGACGTTGAAAGCATACTGTTGCAAAGCGACGCGCCCTCGTGCTTCTCGATCGGCTCTCTCGGGTGTTTACAGAGGAGTGAGGCGTTCAACTCTCATTCAACTGCATGGTATGAAATTGGTGAGCTCTATACACCCTGTCTTAACATGAGCAGCCGAAGCAGGTTCTTCCCTAAACGATTCCGACATTCCATCTGGTTCAACCGAGGCTCCTACCCTCTGGGTTGGTCCGACTATTCGGCCGGATGCCAGCAGTCAATTCCTGATTCCGGTCTTCACTGTGGGACCAGTGTGGTCGCTTGTTCTCATTGATCCCTCCACAGATAATATGGAAAAGCATTTTCCCCAGCATTGTGGATGAGCCGTTCTTGGTCGGTCGTGCTATAATAGACATTCGAGCGTTATCGAGCTTTGTGGGTGACGCTGCTCTTATCGAGGAAGGAAACAACCGTATGTATCTCACCACAAGGCAAGGTACAGTGATCTCGGCCAGACAGCCTTTGACCTCTTATGTTGAAATCAGCGCTTCTGACAGCACTGCGAGGTTCAAGTCCGTATGGGAGGTGAGACGCTGTTCATTAGTCTAATTGTACTGAGGAGATTATGGCTGCGTCACGAGACCGCTGTTGAGCTCAGGTTTCGTCCCATTTTGAGGAGCTCACTGTATATGATTATTCCGATGTATATAATGAGGTTGATGGATTCCCAACAACACATCTTCTTCCGCTGCCTGGTGGCACCTGTGTTATCAACCCGTTCCCGAGCTCATCGAGTACAGGAGTAGCCTTTGCATTGGTTGTCTTCTCCGAAGTCGCCCCCTTCGTGGATCCGACTATGGCTGGGCTTCTGGTGTCATGCGTGGTAGGTCCGGTAGTTAGACTCACCGCTGGATATTCCCGATCATCTCGAAATATCGCGCCATTTGGGTCAGGTGTCATCCCTGGTACCCTATGGGTTAGCTTTGGTTTTGACAATGGTGCTAGTTCTCCGACAGAGAGCAACCGACCGACGATCCGAACAGAGGTCAGTGGTGGTTTCTAAGAATTCTCGTCATTATAGCCATTGTCCAGGCGTCGTGAAGTGATCGAAGCGCATATGACTCTAGCAGCCATGAAATCACAAGCCACGTTTGGGCAACAGTGACTGCTCACGGTCGTTACGTGTTGGATATTCAGAACGTTGGACCAAGAGTGATTGTGTTGATTATGAGGGTTGCTCACAATTCGTCGTCTAACTTGGCTGTGCACTTGTCAGTCTCGTCCGTTCAGTGTCAGTCTTGCTTATATTGTAATTCGACTGGATGCTGTATTGGAGCTGCCTAACCCCAGGTCACCGAACAGGTCCCATATGGCTCCGTGGACCACGGACCGTGGTTCACCCATCTCACAGGTCTGTTCCATGTCCCAGTCCGTTGACGAAGAGGGAATTCACTCCAGTTTCGCGTAGCCTTCAGCCAAGGATCATCAAACAACTGAGGCACTTACGGGCGACCAAGTCCTAACCACGAGTTGTATCACTTTCGCTGCAGGTGGCCCCGACCTCTAGTGAGATTCTCTCGTGAAGATGAACAGTCCTTGTCGTTCTGCCGGTATCTCTAGCCAGTGCTTGTCCCTTTCACACACTTTCTGTCCGTAGCTGAGTTTTCAACAGAATGTCTCCAACGGTTCACGAATTCCGAGGGCAGAAGCATGCCTCAAATTGGGACTGAAAATGAGTTTCAGAAATCTCGTAAGTTCGCTCTACGATCGTCAGCGATCTCGATTGCGAAAAGCCTCGCAATAGAAAGCGATCTCACTTCGAAATGCCCAGACTCAGTATCGAACTGTCGCCCTCCAGGTCTTTAGTCTACCGCTGTAACTGCCGCGCTGCGGGCGCGGCCTGAGCCATCTACGCTGATATTGTTACATTGAGATTGGCTCGGCCAATTTGACCAATTAGAGAATCGAGTATTTATGGATCTTTCACCACATTTACCCCCTCTCAACCACCTGATGGTCGTGCATAAAGCCTCGCTTTTGCTCCTGATTTCCATATTCAGGATTATCGCACCTCCGACAGAGGTGAGCACTGAGTGCTCATTCTCAGCTAGATGTTTAACGCTGTAGCAGGATTATTCGGCGTGAAGTTCAATTCGAACCATAAAAACTAGTTCGCTTGCCTCATGAGATGTTTTAGACTCTGGTATTCGGAGTCCAGTGTGCCTAGCAACTCAGTAGACCCTGACCTGGTCGGAACGACATATCTCCTCGAAATTCGAGCAGAGACATACACACCCCCCTACGAAGAGTGGAACTCCCGTGAAATAAGCCTCTGCCTTGCGACCATTGTCCTTCCTGAAGTCGAAATCTGGAAGTCCAGTGTAATCATTGGGCGATATACAAAATCCAAGGAAGACGACAAGTCGAAGGGTGGTTAACCCGAAACCCCACCCGAAACCCGGCAACTCGCCGGCGGCAAAGCAACCAGAAACCCGAACTGTTATACAGATGAAATCTGTTATCAAAGCAACCAGAAACCAGAGCTGTTATACGAGTGGAAGCCGTTATCAAAGCAACCAGAAACCCGAACTGTTATACAGATGAAATATGTTATCAAAGCAACCAGAAACCAGAGCTGTTATACGAGTGGAAGCTGTAACCGAAGGCAACCAGAAACCCGAACTCTTGAGAGCGAGCGACAAACCTCAACCTTGGATTTTGTAATTTACCCGTAATAATTACAAACTACATGAGAGGCGATGGGTGTTCAATAAACCTCTTCCGAGTTCCAACTGCGCCCCTAGGATCAAGCTCTAGTAGAGCTACTCCACATGTGCCAGCCAGAGCGCTCCGCTCAAATCTCGGGAGATGCCGCCCTCCTCGACGAACTTGTGGAAACGCAGTAGCGCGCGCCTGAGCAGTCGTTACTCCTTGTATCGCCTCCCTTGTGCGTGACGAGATTAGGTTGATGGGGAAACTGACATTCATCGGTCTAGGGCTTGGTGACCCGAAGGACATCACTCTGAAAGGTAGTGCTAGCTTTCACAGTTTGTTGGTCATCTGTTACACAACAGGGTTGGAAGCTCTGCGTGAGGCCGACTATGTTTACCTCGAGAGTTACACTAGCATTCTGGTTGGCCAGAAACCTGATGACTTGAGAGAAGCGTAGTAACTGTTGGGGATATAATGGCATCTGCATGTAGGTGTTAGGTACGGTATTGAAGTTCCATTCATAGAGGCGGACCGACATCTAGTGGAAGGGGGTTGTGAGGAAATGCTGGGAAGGGTAGCAGGCTTATGCGTCAGAGTCGTATGAAGGTTGGTGACTGCAGGCTACAGAAAACAACGTATGCTTCTGTGTCGTTGGAGATGCCCTGTGCGCCACTACACATACTGATCTCTTCCTGCGGGCCCGAGCTAAGGGCATCGAGGTTCGCCTCTTGATGATTATCCCTGGAGTATGATCACTAACAGGTATCGGTCGTCCATAATGCCAGTATCATGAACGCCATTGCATGTTGTGGTCTACATCTGTAATAGGGGGTTGTGGGTATTTATAATACCGCATTAGTCTGAGGGTTACTTTGAAGTGATTAGAAAATGACTTTCTATGTTAAGTTGTGTCCTTGTGAGACTTCTAGGTTCGGCAATGTTTGTCTCGTACGAGAGCTTGAGTAGCGCTGATTCTGCTACTGTTTTAAACGTACATCATCCTATGCTAAGGTTGCACTCAGCAATACCGCGCTTTATCGAGGTCTATCAATTTACATGTTTGAAGTGACGTCATGTATGGTTTGAATCGTTGGTTGAGGGTCCATTGCCTCCTAGGTCAGCTGTGAATTCTGAGATGCGCGTTCCCGCAGTTACCGCTTCGGGGAGACAGTATCGATATGCTTCTGGGATGATTCGTGGAAGCCCGACAGCTACTTTGACAAAATAGCAGACAACGCCAAACGCGGGTTGCACACCTTGTGTTTGCTTGATATCAAGGTCAAGGAGCAGAGTGTTGTCAATCTCATGAAAGGCAACGAGATCTATGAGCCTCCTAGGTATTCATGCCGTAGGTTTAGTTTCGTGGCGCGTGACGAAAGTTTTCACAGGTTTATGTCAGTGCAGACAGCCCTAGAGCAGTTGATGGAAATTGATGAGGATCGAGGCAGTCCCGGAATCGTCGGGAAGGACTCCCTTGTTGTGGTAGTAGCAGAAGCATTCAGCAGCAACGACTCCACTTAGTCGTCCCCTCAGGGTGTGGCACGTGTTGATTGCCAAAACCAATCTATCGTATTCGGCCGAGCGGAAGATGTTGCTTCGGATAAGGCTTCGGAGAAGCTCGGTGGTCCTCTGCACTCACTCGTCGTCTGTGCACAGGTAGTGGTGTTGGTAGTAGGATTTTATTCCCTTTTTACCATGTTCAGGGCATGGAAGGGCTCCAGGAGATGGAGGAGGAGTTTGTTGAGCAATACCGTATATAGTCATCAACGTGATGAATGTACTGAACCGTTCCTTGTGGTTTCTCGCATCGAGCTCATGTGTTTGGTCTAGTTTGGTTAGGGAAATTCTTCGCTGTGCGTAATGGTATCTTTGCTGGTGGTTGTAGTGTAATTTGTATCATGGGAAATTCGGAGAGCAGGGCGTTGGTATCAGACTACTTGGATGAGCTCGGTCAGTGTGACCTTGCGGTGGATGCTGAAGCTGCACCTATGAAGGAGGAGTTTTGGACTACTATATTTGGTAGTAGTAGTAGGCCCGCTATAACACGCTGTTTTGTATAATCGACCGAGATGCTCTGTCACTATCCTCTGAGGTTAGTGACAACTCTAGAGTTTATTCGGCATCACTATTTGTAGGGCACCGGAAGGAGTATTCATTCATTTGTTGGTAGTTAGTAGGAAGTCATACGATGAGCTTCTCCTTGGGAATGCTTTCCTAGCGACAAAATCTCAGTGTTGAGCGTGTTGGCACGGTTTGGTGCAGTTAGTGTGGTGACTATCTCGATAGAGATATTCCTTGGAAGCGTAGCATTCGCTTATGTTGTACTGTTACAGTATGATGTATCGTATAGTAGCGATGGGGTTATCGGTAATTTGTTGGGCAATGTGTTGGTGGCAAGGTACGCCCTTGAGCATCGAGGAAATCTTTGAAATCATCACTCCGGAGTGGGTGAGGAACCTCAGAGATGAGAAGCCTTATAATATGCAGTTCTTATTGAGGAAGATAATAGAGAAGTTGGAGGAGGTAAGCGTACTATCGATTGAGTGGTGATGATTACCAAGCTAGGTATGTGCGACGGGATTGGTGCAATCGGAAGAGGTGGACGAAGGTGAAAGTCGGGCTATGAATGCTTGTGTAAGTGGTCCCGTAGGGTCCCATGAGCTGACCCAAGGCCAACGGAGTGAGGCCTTACAGTGTGTTCGGCTGTTAACAAGGATAGCCCCATTCCTATTGGAAGATGTTGATGCTGAGAGCTGCTTGGCCTTGCTATGGCATTCGGGAGGGTGAGGGGGTAGCAGTGCTTGGGCCGCTCATTGGGTGTTGTTTTAGGTTAGTCGTGAGGAACAGGGGAGAGTCGGTAGTAGTCGAGCCTGCATCTCCATCAGTCGAGGAAGGTAGAGTAGTGTAGTAGTTAGTTGTGTATGCCTTTCCTTTAGCGGCGGGGGATGATGGAAGTAGCGTGACGTCGAGTGTGGAGGATGTGGCTGATCTTGGGAGGGCACCGCTTATGTATAGGATGCTCAGGGCTCTGCAATGGTCGTTGTTTCTCAAGGACTTCACCGTCCTCATACCACAAGGTCAGGGTTTTGCTCACTCGAACTTCCCTGTGATTGACCGATTCGTTGTGGCCTGATGTCACTAAGAGTAGGTGCTTCCTTGCCTCTACCGACTCACAGAGTGGACTCAAGATTCGTTTGGAGAGGGGGAATCGGAACTGCTAAGGAGCTACCAGTGAATCAGAATAGTAGGATGTTGTTACTGCTACTTGTCATATGATACGACAGATGAGATCATGAGTGCTCGCTGTGAGGTCCTCAAGTGTCTCCTCACTGTGCTCAGTGAACCTCTTTTCCAGGTAAGCTTAGAACACTCTTGTGGATAAATTGTAGCCGTATTAATAGCATAAAAAACTATACTGGTCAGCATGTTTCTCGTTGATCGCCTTATTTTTCAGCCCATATCATCCTACTCCTCGAATCCTTCCAGAGTGCTTCTCACATTCTGCAGCGGCGACCTGCCTTATACAGCGAATCTATACTGCAGTCTTATGAGCACTGTGGTGGCCTACGATCCGAGAGGATATGTGATACTCTCGATTGTTCATCGACAGTGATAAGTTAGCTCAGGGCGTCCCATACGGCTCGGCGTTCTCTAGTGGAAGTCAGGAGGCTTTGGTGGATCTGTCCTTACAGGTGAAGGTCCCAGGTTCGAACCCTGGTGCGGGCACTTGTACTGTGCAGGTCTTATGCGCATTGTTAGACTTCAATCCCTCACCGGAGAATACTGGATCGGAGATGGTGAAAACCCATCGTACCGGGACTGGCTCTGAGGATGACAGTAACAACTCGATATCCGAGAGCTCCAACCAAGAGGAGTCGGCTGCACGCAGAAGTAGGATTCTCTAGTTCATTCTGATCTTGAGCTTTTCTGGACCATCACTATCATAGAGCTTAGCAGTATGCATGGTTTCAGGGTTTTCCTCGTGTGCCTTCCCTCTAGCTGGTCCGGATGATGATGCTTCCAAGCCTCGTAACGTTTATAGAATAATGGCTAGAGGAGTTCAGAAGACTGGTGAACTGGACTTCATGGTAGCGAGGAGGTCCCCGGTTCGATCCCTGGTACCTCCATTTTGCCGCACTCAGGCTGATGGTTTGGTCCGAATCG